TGTATCTTGGTTTTTATCCTGTCAGTCACTCTATATTTTGATGTGGGAGTTTATCCCATTTACATTTAAAATAATCACAAACAGAGAGGGCTTTAATATTGCCATTTTGTTCATTATTTTCTGTCAGTTCTTACAGCTTTTTTTTTTTTTTTAAAAGATGTATTCATTTATTTTTGAGAGAGAGAGAGAGCAAGTGGGGGGAGAGGCAGAGGAGAGAATCTTTAAGCAGACTCCCTGCTGAGCAGGGAGCCTGATGCCCGGCTTGATCTCAGGATTCTGAGATCATGACCTGAGCTGAAACCAAGAGTTGGACACTTAACTGACAGCCACCCAAGCACCCTGGTCTTACAGCTTTTTGTCCCTCATTTCCTCTGTTGCTATCTTACTTTGTGTTTCATTGATTCTTCTTCTTCTTCTTTTTTTTTTGTGGTGACATGCTTTGATTCCTTACTCCTTATCTTTTGTGTGTCTTCTATAAGTATTTTGTTTGTGGTTACCATGGGGCTTACAGAAAACATCTTATAGCTATAACAGTGTATTATAAGTTGTTAACAGCTTAACTTCTGTTGCATACAGAAGCTCTTTTTTATTCTCCCCGCACTTTGTTATTGTTGTCACAAATCACATTCTTTTTATATTTTGTACCATTAACATATTTTTATAGTTATCTTCATTTATACATTTGCCTTCTAACTCCCATACCAGAATTTAAGGTGATTTATGTACTGTCATTACAGTAGTACAGTATTCTGTGTTCTTCTCTGTATTATACCTTTCTCACTGAGATTTATACTTTGATATGCTTTTGTGTTGCTAATATCCTTTAATTTCAACCTGAAGGATTTCCCTTCACATTTCTTGAAAGGCAGGTCTGATGGGTGAACTCCTTCAGCTTTTGTTTATTTGAGAAAGTATTTCTCTTTCATTTTGAAGGAAAGTTTTGCTGGATATAGTATTCCTGGTTGTCTCTCTCTTTTTTTAAATTTTCTTTCAGCACTTTGATTATGTTATCTAGCATTCCCCCTTCTGACCTATAAAATTTCTGCTGAGGAATCTGCTAATAGTCTTATGGGGGCTCCTTAATAATCCCATCATTCTAAACTAAACCTTTTTTTTTTTTTAAGAGGAAGAGAGGGTTGGGGCAGAGGAAGAGGGAGAGAGAGAGAATCTTAAGCAGGCTCCATGCCCACCAGGGAGCCCGATGCAGGGCTTGATCTCACAGCCCTGAGATCATTGCCTAAGCCAAAATCTGGATTTGGTTGCTTAGCCAACTGAACCACCCAGGCACCGCTCCCATCATTCTAAATCAGTTGTTTATCATTGACTTGAATTCTGAAGGAGGGAAGCAAAAGCATAGAATTTTCTGAAACCAAAAGATCATGCTTTCTAGCTTATTTTAAATTTAAAGTCGGAGAATTCATTCTTTTTTTGTGCTTCACAGTGGAATGCTCAAGAGCAGAGTAATTGGGTATTTGAGTGGCTCAGTCAGTTAAGCGTCTGCCTTCGGCTCAGGTCATGATCATAGGGTCCTGGGATCGAGTCCCACATTGGGCTCCCTGCTCAGAGGCGAGTCTGCTTCTGCCTCTACCCATCCCCCCTGCTCATGATTGCTCTCTCTCTCTCAGTCTTTCAAATAAATAAATAAAATCTTAGAGCAGAGGAATCAAGAGCTCATAATTACCTCTCAAGTAAATCAGTCAGTTCACGTATGTCATTTCATTAGGAAAACAACAGTCCATACTTTATGCAAAAAATATTTTCCATATGTATATATTTGTATCTGTGTTTTCCTAATGAAATAACACCTAGTTTGTTTTTCCCATTGACTTTTGATGATTTAATCTGGGGTATAATAGCCTTTGAACTGTATTAAGTTTATTTACAGTAAAATTTTCCCACTTACGTTTTTTCATTTATGAACTCACCAGGAAAAAATAAACACCCATACATACTTCTTTAAGTCTGAGGCTCGTAAAAAAAAAAAAAACCAAACTGTACTCTTCAACATAGAGTACTTTATTTCTTTTCCGACAATATAATTAAAACAGTTGTTTAGAAGCTAAATACACTATTTTATAAAATGTCAGTAAATGTACTGATTGCCTTCCCAGAACTAAGAATCTGTCAAAGTGTCTTAGCAGAAATCTTACCAGAAGGGGTAATTGAAACTTGGGCAATGCAATCTAAGATAACCTTTTGTTTTTAATTAAAATGGGGAATAAGAAGCCAATTCAAAAATTTGTCTCCCTTCATTTGCTCAAGGTAGGGTGATGGAACTTGTGTTCTAATAGAGCCTCAGCACTTGTTAAAAACATCAATTCTGGCTGAGTGTTGTGAATCTAGCCATTACATGCATAGCTCCAAATGCTGCCATGGTATGTCATGGTCAGGCTCATTAATGAATTAATGCTTAACTGTTACTTTTTGGTTAGTAGGTTAGTAGGGGATTTTTCTCCCTTCTTGAAAGTAAATTAAGGATTTTTCTCCCTTCTTGAAAGTAGATTAAAGTAGATGTTCTCCTAAGCTTAGAAGGAACAGGCAGGCTTTCTAAGATTACAGCAGGTAGAGGAAATTTAACATTCTAGATAAAAAAAGTGTGAAATGTACTGGGAGGAAAATAGAATTTTTTTGGTGCTACATTGTGCTGTCAATAGGCTCATAGTAATTTCTCATAGCTTCACAGATTTTGAATTGAATTTTTATAAAAATAGCTTTATGAAGATATAATTCACATGCTCTATGCTCTCTATATGCTATATAATTCATTCAAAGTGTACAATTCAGTGACTTTTAGTATATTCACAGAGCTGTGCAAATGTAATTACAAATAATTTGAGAACGTTTTCATTATCCCCTCAAGAAGCCTTGTATCCATTAGCAGTCACTCCCCATTGTCCTCTACACCTTTCCAATCTTAAGCAATTACTTTCCAATTACTTAAGCAATTACTCTTTAGATTTACCTATTCTGGACATTTCATGTAAATGGAATCATATAATATGGGGGGTCTTTTGTTACTGGCTTCTTTCACTTGACATGATGTTTGCGAGGTTCCTTTCCCTTTTTATGGCTGAACAATATTTCCATGGTATGGCTATACTACATTTTATTTATCAGTTCATCAGTTGATGGACACTTGGTTTGTTTCTGCTATTTGGCTATTGTGAATTATGTTGCTCTGAACATTCACGTAGGAGTTTTTTGTGTGGATATGTTTTCATTTCTCTTGGGTAGATACCCAGAAGTAGAATTGCTAGATCATATGGTAATTTGGTTTAAACATTTGATAAACTGCCAGACTGTTTTCTGAAGGGGCTGCACCATTTTATATTCCTACCAGGAGAGGATGATGGTTTCAGATTCTCCACATCCTGCCAACACTTGCTATTGTCTATCTTTTTTTTTCTTTCTTTTTTTTATTATAGATCCTATTGGATGTTAAGTGGTATGTCATTCTGCTTTTGATTTGCAATTACGTCATGGCTGTTGATGGTTGAATATCCCGGTCTTTATTAACATTTCTTTATCTTCTTTGGATCCTTTGCTCTTTTAGAATTGGGTTATTTGTCCTTTCATTATTGAATTATAAGAATTCTTTATATATTCTGGATACAAATCCCCTATTAGATAGATGATTTGTAAAAAATTTTCCCGCATTCCGTGGGTTGTCTTTCATTTTCTTTCTAGTGTCCTTTGAAGGACAAATACTTTTAATTTGATGAAATCTATTCTTTTTCTTTAGTTGTACTTGCTTTTGGTGTCATATCTAAGAAGGCTTTGCCTAGTCTAAGGTCACAGAGATTTACTATTATATTTTCTTTAAGAGTTTGATAGTGTTAGCCCTGACATTTAGGTCTAAAAATTTATTTTGAGTTAATTTTTATATGTTGTGTGAGAAACGGACCCAAATTCATTCTTTTGTATGTGGATATCTAATTGTTGAAATCCACCATTTTTCAAAAAGGCTCTTCTTCCTCCATTGTATTTTCCTGGCATATTTATCAAAAATCAATAGAACATGAATGTAAGGATTTATTCCTAGACTCTTTTGAGTTCTGTTTCATTGATCTATATGTTTTGTTGTTATGCCAGTGCCACCCTTGTTGGATTACTGTAGCTTTGAAGTAAGTTTTGAAACGGAGAAGTTTGAGTCTCAAACTTTTCTTTCTTTTTTTTTTTTTTTAAAGATTTTTATTTGTTTGACAGAGAGAGACACAGCGAGAGAGGGAACACAAGCAGGGGGAGTGGGAGAGGGAGAAGCAGGCTTCCCGAGGAGCAGGGAGCCCGATGCGGGGCTCGATCCCAGGACCCCGGGACCATGACCTGAGCCGAAGGCAGCCGCTCAACGACTGAGCCACCCAGGCGCCCCAACTTTTTTCTTTTTCAAGATCGTTTTGGCAATTTGGGATTCCTCGCTTTCCACATGAGTTTTAGAATCAGTTTTTCAATTTTGGCAAATAAGCCAACTAGGATTTTGATGGGATTGTGTTGAATCTGTACATCTATTTGGAAAATATTACTATCTTAACAGTATTACGTTTTTTGATCCACAAATGAATTGTGCTTCTCTTTTTATTGGGTTATGCATAGGGATTGAAATGAACACCTGCAGAGAAATTTTTGTCCATTAACCACCCCCTTACAGTATGACTAATTTTATGTATTTCATATTGGAATAACACATTTCACTCTACAGTTACTTTGTTGTTTATATATTCTACGTTTTAGCTTCTCATTAGAACTGTAAACTTCTTTGGGGCAGGATATATTTAAGAAAAACATTTTTGATTGGTATTTGGCAGGTCATTATAAAAGAGATAGAATATTAGTGGTACTATGAAATTACCACTGACAACAAATAGCTAGCTAACATTTTTTTATGTCTTCAAAGTTATATATATATTCCTGTTATTCTTTTGAAGAAAAACAAAATAATGATCACATTAGAGATCAATTTCCTTTAGGAGGCATAATAAATACATTCTTTACATTCATTTTAGGTACCAAATCTGATTCCAGTTTTAATGTTCAAATTGGGAAGACCACTGGAACCTGTGTTATATAATGACATCTTGTATACTTTACCTACACTTGGTGTTCACAAGGTTTGTATATTAACCAGTTTGCTTGGGGACAAAAAGAGAGTGAGGCATGCATAATACATTGAATTTTGAGCCCTTAATTTTGCTATGACTGCTACTTCCCTTGTTGGGCCAGAAGTATTTATTATGGTATTTAAGAATTAATTCTTTGAAATCATTTAATAGCCAAATTTTCCCATTGGCTGTTGTCTGAGATTAGGTCTTACACCCCCAGGTTCGCTAGCTAGCCCCTCCCCCAAACTATCCGCCACCTCTGAGAAGGTGGGTCATATTGTCGTTAGCTTCCATTTCAGTCTTTATTCTATAATAAGGGATTTTCACATTCTTTTGGTCACCTTGGGATTACCTACATTTATATTTGTGAAGCCAAAATTTCTTCAATATTTTCTAGGTGTGTATAGGCCAGATTCTGCGAGTGATCCAGCTTCTTGGAACCACTCCACAACTAAGAGCTGTCACTCTGCGCTTGTTGACATCGTTGTGGGAAAAGCAGGTAAGCTTAGAGATAAACTTGTGTATTAAACATGTTCCTTTCACCAGAGCAGATTAGTTTTGTCAGGTGTGTGACAATGCTCTGATACAGTCGTGTTAAGGCGTGGCATCAGTGATTGCATTCAGAAATTTTGGTTTGGCGTGATGCTTTTGATCTGTAATGCAGTCGGTTGTGATTGACTCTCAAAGAGAAATTGAGAATAGAAAAAAAAAACTTATCTTGTTAATTCTGAAATTTATATTTCCATCTGCATGGAAAAAGTAATAGAAATATGATTACATGTGATTAGAGCCTTTGTAATTAGGGTGAGATTCAGCCACCTTTTTCTTGTCTTATGAAATGAACAGAAATGGGTCTATAAGAAAATCCCTAGCAATCACAAAAGCATTCTTCTCTGCTGATTAGAAGAAATGCATTATAATTAGCAATGCAAATGTGGGATTTGGAGGTAAAAATGCTATGTAAAATGATTATTCAACTCAAGTTGGGAAATTACCTTTTTTATGAAATTGCCTTCTTAGGATCGTGTCTACCCTGAACTGCAGCGTCTCATGGCCACGTCCGATGTACCTTCTCTGTCTGTGGGCAGGGAAGTCCAGTGGGAAAAACTCATCGCCAAAGCAGCATCAATCAGAGACATATGTAAGCAAAGGTAAGATGCGCTTAATCCTTGGGAATGGATATCATGACGCATTCTTTTGCTTTTAATTTTTTTGTTGCAAGCAAGAGACTAGGAATGATAGGCAGAGGATATTTGAGTAAGAATAAATTAATTTTCAGTTCCAGTTTTCTGATAGTAGAACTTAGTATGATTGGATAATAACTTTGAGAAGCAAGCATGTCCTTTATATTTCAGATCTAGCCTTGTATCTAGTTTATAGGACATTTGTATCCTCTTCTGGATAATAATTTATTATTATAATAAAAAATGTGATGCTATGTTTTCTTTTCTTTCTTTCTTTTTTTTTTTTTTTTGTTACTGGGTAAATTTGCAGACATGGTTTCCAGTAAATCAGATCATATGGAGGTTTTTTTTTTTTTTTTTTTTTTTGTATACAAATCTCTGAAACCTAAGCAGTGGGCTATAGTCAACTGTTTTTTGTTTTTTGTTTTTTAAGATTTTATTTATTTTTTTTTGTCAGAGTGAGAGAGAGCACAGGCAGAGGGAGAAGCAGGCTCCCTGCTGAGCTGGGAGCCCAATGTGGGGCTCGATCCCAGGGCCCTGAGATCATGACCTGAGCTGAAGGCAGACGCTTAACCGACTAGGCCACCCAGCTGTCCCTGTAGTCAGCTGTTTTTTCTTATATTTTCCCTATGTTATGTCTAATTGTTATAAAGGGTTTGAATAGGGAAGATCTCATTTGTGATTCATTGCCTGGAATTTATTACTAGGAATTATTACAAGGAAGGCCTGATCTTGAATCCCCATGTATGCCCTGGAGTTGAGGAAGACATGAAAGTATTAGGGAGGTGACTCTGCTGTTGTAGTTTAGGGATTAATCCTAAAGCGGGTAACGTGGATGATTCTTGTTTCAAGTCTGGGATCAGGATGTATCTAAACCTCAGCAGTTCTGCCTCTTTTCTAAGCTTCAGCCTTTGGCAACACCAGCATAACCTCACTCTACAAGTCACACACATGAAACCTAAGACTTGGGAGTGTGGATTCTCTGGAGCTACTGGAATGGAAAACATTTTAGAGATGAAGGACTATTAGCCAACATTTTGATTTTCACGCTTAAAGCTCAGCTTCAGGAGAGGTTAAATATCAGAGCAGGTCAGCGTCTGTTGATAACTTATTCAGTATTCCACCTCAAGGTCTGCCAAAATTTTCCAGTTTTGGAAAATGATTACTGTTTGTCTGACAGTGAAACAGTAGAATCCAACCAGGCAATTTTCATCAGCTGGTAGTTTGTTCGAGAAAACCATTATATCACTCAGCGGTGACAAGGAAAGCCAAGGATGGACCTGAGCATTTCTTTGAGAAGTTAATATTCTGGGGATAGCACACTGCATGTGGAATAGAGAGGGGAGGAAGGGGAGGAGGAGGAGTGAGTGAATCCAGTGTAGTGCCTGACGTGAGATGGGTGTTTAGTCAGTTATAATTCATGTCATTACTTTTATCATCATCATCGGCATCATTATTGTGATAGGTGTAACCACCTGCGTATCACTGCTGTAATAAATTATCTTCTCATCTCCAGTCCCTGCCTTTGTAGTCAGTGGCTGATACCAGAGCACCCGGCAGGCAGGAATAGCTCTATCTTTACTGATAATCTCAATGAGGTAAGTCAGTTCTTCTCACCATTATTATAGACTTGAATTTTTGTCAATTCAGGCCATAGGATTTACAGTTTAGGGAGAACAAAATTTGTTAGCAAGTGCCCTCTTGCTTGGATAATATTTCTTTATCAACAATGAGCCTTATGTTACAGCAGGAACGACGATGAGGCAAATCTTGGCAGAAAACATATGTTAGTATTTGAGGGTCAACATTTAATGGACATAAGGGTAAAGAAAAGCACTAATGCTGTTTGTTCAGGCAGAAGTCCTGGGAGGGGGAGTGTGCTCTTTGGCTTTAATCTTGTTTCTAAACTATCGTTTCTTGTAGGCCCTACCAGCATGGAGCGGATATGTTGGCAGCCGCTTCCCAGGTGTTGAATGAATGCACCAAACCTGATCAAGCCACTCCGGCAGCCTTGGTCCTCCAAGGTCTTCACGCGCTCTGCCAAGCGGAGGTAGGCTTTTTAACATTGTTTTGGATCATTTTGAAGAAAATATTGTCCAAGCCATAGTAGTTACAAGGATGTAAGTTTAGATTCATTTAATTGAGTGTTTGAGTATTCATTCCCAGAGGTTTTTATTTGGGAAGCAAAGCAAGACCTACTTGCCACATTCTTTCTAGAGGGGAGTCTAGAAACATCTGGTCCTGCGGACATTGTCTAGAGGCTAAAGACAACCACTCTATGTTTTCCCTTTTTCTTATTTTTATTTTTATTTTTTTTTGTTAACAGAGATGGGAAAGTTATGCTCCTAGGAGATCTCTTGAATAAATCTGCTCATTAGGTTTGTGATTAGCACACTGTAGAAGCAGAGGAAGAGAAGAGATTGGCATACACCTGTGGCAGTTTAATAACCAGCAAAAATTATTGTTGGCTCTTAGTGATCAGTTTGGGTAGGATGGATTGATGTTAGACTTGCACCTCTAAACATTTTCTGAACTTGAAGCTGCTCCCCACGTGACAACACAGCAGAGAGAATCTTAACCATCTTGGAGAAATGGGATAGTTATGTCAAAGATCACTGATCAACCTAACCAAAGTTTTTGACACAGTGAGACATACTTAGACAATTGGAGTCTTTTAGTGAAGGAGACTAAGTGGAAATCTCTTAGCGTTGGCAATTACGGTTGATATGATAAGGAATATAATGATATAATAATACATCATTGGCAGTGGGACTCTACTTGTATTTATATGTTCTTGTGCTAAGTACTTTCCATTTATGCTCCTCATTAATTCTGCAATATGAGGATTATAACACCATTTTATAGATGAGGAAAATAGACCTTCGAGGGAGGTTTACTCAGGATCTTGGTAGGAGACTAAACTACTGTTCTTTTGGGTAGACACTTATTTTAGCAGAGAATGAGCATCATCACTGTTTAGGAACCAATGTATGCTGAGGACAGCTTGTGACCATGGGCCCAGTGATGGACAAAGCTGTTTGGATTTCAAAGCAGAGCGCTGTTACAGCAGGGGTCAACTACTCAAAACCAAGGACTTTTGGTTTTTATTGCTTCAATTAGTCATCTGGAATTGGGAAGTGTCGCTTTAATAATGATCTTGCTTTCATGGTAAATAATTCTAAACCTCATTTTGAAATGAGTTTTTATTTTTATTTATTTTTAAAGATTTTATTTATTTATTTATTTGAAATGAGTTTTTTTTTAATTTTTTTTAAAGATTTTATTTATTTATTTATTTGAAATGAGTTTTTTTTTAATTTTTTTTAAAGATTTTATTTATTTATTTGACAGAGAGAGAGAGAGAGAACACAAGTAGGCAGAGAAGCAGGCAGAGGGAGAGGGAGAAGCAGGCTCCCCGCAGAGCAGGGAGCCTGATGCGGGACTCGATCCCGGGACCCTGGGATCATGACCTGAACCGAAGGTAGCCGCTTAACCGACTGAGCCACCCAGGCGCCCCTGAAATGAGTTATTAATAGAAGCTTTGAGAGAAGAGAGAATTCTATACTTTCACCTCCAAATGGTGATCAGTGTTACCATTTTGGAGTATTTCCTTTTCATTATTTTTTCCAAACAGGAATCAAGTCCTTTCCAAAATTAACTTTTTCCCTCTAACAAATGGTAATTTTGTCTTACTGTGTCTATAATTCCATTGTGTTTTCCACTCATCCTCTGCTGTTACTACATGGCTCTGTTGTTTGTAGATCCTTATTAACTCTTAAGAAATGCTCAGCGTGTGGTGCTGATTTTTCTCATTCCATTTTCTCTAGGATATCATTAACTGTAGTTAGTACTGGAGATACGAAAAATGTACCGGATGTGGCAGGAGGCGTCTTTGTTTTGGGGCAATGGTGGGATTGCCTGGTATATACCAGTTATTGGCTTCCTGTCCTTTGGTTAGTTTACTTAACCTCTGAGCTTCTAGTTCTTTAAATGAAGATAAAAGATTACTCAAAAAATAAAAGAAACCTAGCATAATGTCTGCCCACATAGGTGCTCTTTAAATGTTGAGTTTGCTCCTGAAAAATTGGTTACACAGTTGGATATAGTGAGTGCCATTAAGGAGGTTCTAAGTAGTTTTTTGTTTTTAGTCTTTTCCTGAAAGCTCACATAATACAGGACAGTGACTTCGTTTCTTCCTACAGATGGTACCCTATCCTTCCAATGCGGAAGCTTTTGTTACTTCTTTCAATACTTAAAGGAGACAATTTAGGATCGTTGAAGTCTATTCCCCTAATCCAAACTACTACCCAGAGGATTTTACTAAATAGGATCGAAATCCATTCAGGCTGCTGTATTACAACATAACGTAAACTGGGTAGCTCATTAACAAACATTTATTTCTCATGGTCTGGAGGTTGGTAAGTTTGAGCTCAAGGTGCTGGTATATTCAGTGTCTGCTGAGGGCCTCCATCTTGGTTCCTAGATGGCCATCTTTATAGACAGCTTTAACCTCACATAGCTGCAGGGGCAGGAGAGCTCTCTGGAGACTCTTTATGTGGTCACCAGTCCCAGTCATGAAGGCTCTGCCCTCATAACCAGGTCATCCCCCAAAGATCCCAGCTCCTAAAAACTACCCCCTTGAGAATTACGATTTCAATATACGAATTTTGGAGGGGACACAAATGTTCCACCCACAGCAGCCACTTTGCTTCTTGCATTCCATTCTCTTGTAGAGGAATTGAGACATCATGTCTAGGTATTTTATTCAATGAGGCCTGTGTCTTATTTTCATACCTTAATACTCCTTCTTCTGCTTGGTTAAAGGCATTTCTCTTTTCCATTGTGTTTCCTTCCTCCCCGTTGTGTTTCCTTTTGTGTTATGAAATCCAAATCCCATATGGTGTTTTTATCAAAATTTCACTTTTAAGGGGCGCCTGGGTGGCTCAGTCGGTTGAGCGTCTGACTCTTGGTTTCGGCTCAGGTCATGATCTCAGGGTTGTGAGATCAAGTCCTGTGTTGGGCTCTGCGCTCAGCATGGAGTTTGCTTGACCCTCTCCCTCTGCTCCTCCCCTGCCCCGCTTGTGTGCACACTCTATCTCTCTCTCAAATAAATAAGTAAATAAATAAATAAAACCTTTAAAAAATTCACTTTTTAAAGAACTTCAGCTGACAGATTGCAAATGAAATAAATCCACCTTGTCTTTTGAACAAATAGATGTATCCTTTTCAAATCCTTTTTGTATTAAGATCAGTACTAATAAATCATAAAGCAATACTGGCAATCACTTAACTTCATTTTTTATAGAGAATGCTTATTTTCTTATCCCTTATTTTTCACCTTTCTTGTCTTAGAGGATAAACTCACTATTTTATTGACCCTTACCAGAGGTACATAGTTATTTACCGTCTTTTCCTTATAGATAGTACAAGTGTCCTGAGTTGTGGAATAATTTTTTTTTTTCTGAGTTGTGGAATTTGTTGAAACTGACTGCATCACAGTTGATTTTGGCAATCGAAATACTCTTTTTTAAAGATGATTTGTAATAAATAGCTTTATGTTCATTTAAGAAATAATCTATTTCCCCTTGATGAACCTTGACGGTGGTAATTGATCTTTGTGTTTTGTTTAAGCCATTCCAAGCTTTTTTTGTATGTGTTCATTATTTGTGAAGCTGCTGCCATTATGTCCTGTGATGTGTGTTGAAGTTGCAAAATACACTCAATTTGGTGGCTCTTGCCAGGACACATTTACTAATTTTGGGCTAATCTTTTTTTTTTTTTTTGCCAGCATGCATTCTTTGAGGCCGTTTATTGTCTTCTAATTGATATCATGTGTGAAGCAATTGATGGTTGCCAAGAGTTTCAAGAATGAAAATATTCAGCATAGTTATAAATCTATTTCCCAGTAGCATTTGGTAGTAATTTGTCTATCCACTGCTTTTTAGATCCTTGACTGTCAAATATAATTAAGAATACAGAAAGCTGAAAACAATGAAACTTTAATAACCAATAAGGAAAAGAGTAAAATTGAATAACCCTATCTTTTAGAAAATGCCTCATTTGGAAAACCATTCCCAATTGGATTTCGCTGGGCCTTCCCATCCTTGCCTTTTGTATAGTAAGTAGAGCTCTTTTTCTTAAGGTCGACACTGGACTCCTCAGTTTTAGAATCACAATTATGAAATTAATTTTCCTGGAAGGTCAGATTAAGCCTGCAATTCCTCCTCCTTAATCATTTATCATGGTCTCCAATGAGAGATTGAAAGGATGGATTCCATGTCAAGGCCAACTCTATGAAGGTGAAGATTGTGTTTCCAACGTGGGTTTCTTCTACGCTGCTTTACTAAACAAAGCACATAAGGGGAACTTCTAGGAATCTTCGTTAACCGTAAAGACAATTATGTAGTTTCCATTTTGGAACTGGAAAAGAAACTTACTCTTTCTTTAACACTATTGGTATATTGATTTAGGACTTCACACTTTTTTTTTTTTCTTTTTAATGGCTGAACTACTTTTTACAAGTTACAGCTAATATTTCTGGGGTACCTAATATGAATTTGGACATTTTGTGATAATGGGGATTCATTTTATACTGAAGAAACAGTGGCTCTGGCAATTTAAGTAACTTTCCAAGATCACATGACTCATAAATGAAAGAGAAGTAAAGTAGATCCAAGACTCTCTCCAAGTCTGATTTTCTTTTGTTATTTTGAGGCTTCCTTCCTTTGAAAAATATGAGCATTGAAAGAAGTACATTTCTTTGGCTTTAAGCAGAGGGTTTGCCATTTTCAAAGGAAAATTAATATTCATGCATTATCTTTTCCATATTTTTTTCATTCAGCTTTCTCATCTCATCTGAACACTTTTTGCCCCATTCCATCCCCATAATCCTTAATTTTCTTCTTTTTAAAAAAGATTTATTTATTTATTTGAGAGAGAAAGAAAGCTTGTGCATGTAAGTGGGAGAGGGAGCAGAGGGAGAGGGAGAGAGAATCTTAAGCAGACTCCACGCTGAGAACAGAGCCCTACTCAGGGTTTGATCTCACAACC